GTCGTGTCGTGTCGTGTTGCGTTGCGTTGCGTTGTGTTGCGTTGTGTTGCGTTGTTTTATTTGCGTTGTGTTGTGTTCTGTCGTGTTCTTTCGTGTCGTGTCGTGTCGTATTGTGTCAAACCGCATTTAATAGTAAAAGGAAAATGAAACCCTTGTGAATCGATTGCACCTAATCTGATATCACCGGCTGTACTGTTGGACAGATAGACGGCACATACCGAGAGATTCTCATACATCGATGACAACGACTTGTCTGTGGTTTTCGAGAGAACGATGAAGCGTCAGCTACCTTCAACGTTTGAGTAAATACAGGTATGTTTTTTAAATATATATAGACCTATAACGATCTAAAATTATTGTATTAAATCAAACCCACATTCTCCGATGCATATATGTTATACGTAGATCCCATATTATATTATATCACATATATCTCCAGTAGAGAAACCCACAAGTATGAGGTTTGCGGCCAATTACTTGGTGAGCTGACTGTGGAAGGGGAGCCGGAGAAGAAGCTGCTGTTAAGAGGAGTCACGGAGCATGCCTGGGGCATCCGAGACTGGAGCACATACAACAGATACATTGCTAACTGCAGATATCTGGAGGTCAGCTGTTTATTTGTTTATAAGGAACGTAGACTGGAAATTTAACGGGAATTTATCCTATCAACGCTGAACCAATAAATTCACAAACATTACACAAACACACACACGCACGCACGCGCACACACACACATACACACACACACACACACGCGCGCGCGCGCGCACACACACACACACACACATGTTCTGTATAGACATGTGCCGATTAGCAATGACACGGAAAGGGTTATAGCGCGTGTTTGTCACCATTCGTCGCTTTCTTTCCATCCCATTAGACGATAATTTAACCGTGGAAATAAACTACATTATCAATTTTCCCTTTGTTTTCCGAATGCCCATTATTGTTTTTACTGTATTTGACTTTATTTAGACTTGAAAGAAATCGTTCTTTAGTGCGTTACTAGATAAATGATCATTGAATGATTGAATGTATAACTCATCTTCGTTTGTTAAGTTCTATTATTTTATATGAACCGCAGGGAGATGATGCCGCAGGCGATGACACCTCTCACGTGTGATGTGTTCGTATCTAGCATGGCCGGGATGGAACAAGTATGTGTAACATGCGTTTCATAGCAGCACAGAATCGTAGCATTTCGCTACTAGTTTGCTTACCAGATAAACATTTTACGTCCGATGTACGTGTGGACAGCAGCTACACAAACCCGCTGGTAGGTCCATATAACATCGGACTCGGATATAACATATATATATATATATATATATATATATATATATATTTTATATATATATATAAGTGCAGCTACGACTGATTAACGTACTTGAAAATGTATAGTTCTGATATGTAACATAATATGTTCGTATATATAATACTCTTTGGCGATTGTTAGAATAGAAAGACCGTACGATATGCAGGTAAGTGACATCTGAGCAAAAAAACGTAGGTTGTTATTAATCTTAACGTACTA